TCGTTTTTCGGACCCCAACCAGGGAGCCGAGACGTTCCAACCGAGACCAGCTCAGAAGTGAGGGCCTTCATTCCTCTCGACCAAGTCATCACTTGGCCACCTCTCCTCTTCTTCCATCTACACCCCCAGTGAGCAAACAACGCACGTCGCGGGATTCGGTGGGCTGGCATGCGCAACACGTGGCCGAGCCATCGGAGCCTGGTGCGTGAAATAAAGGTGTTGAACGGTTCAGTTCCTTTTCCTGTGCCATAAACAATGCTTCGAACACGCTCGTTGCTCACGCGCTGTTCCCACCAGATGTGAGCCAAATTGCGAAGGCACCGATGGTCGAACGTAACTAACCTCTTCAGGTCCGCTGCTTTAAGCAGCCAGGCTTCACAACCGTACGGTAAGGTCGAACGTACCGCTGCATTGTACACTCTACCCTTCAGGGCAAGAGTGATGTCGCGCCGGCGCCATAAGTGGCGAAAATTAGCAAAAGCGCCCCGAGGTTTTGCTACACGATTCGTGACTTCATGTTCAATCCCACGGGCGCTGATGCAACTTCTCAGGTAGTTGAATTTTTGATCGACTTCTAGCTGATCCCCACCAAGGGTCAGCGTAGGAGGCGGTCCAGACCAATCTTGGAGGGACGCTTTGCACTTCGAGGGTGCGAAGCAAAGCCCGAAGTGACGGACAGATAGTGCTAACCTGCCCAGTGCCACTTGACACGTTTGTGAGCTGTCACAGATAAGGGCAATATCGTCAGCATACTCCAAATCAAGAATTACTTCTCCTGGGAGCAGATCCACACCTCCAAAGTCGTGTCCTGTGAACGCGATTTCCATGACTTCGTCAACAGCGAAGTTGAAGAGGAAGGGTAGCAGCGGGCCTCCTATTCTCACACCGCTGAAGATATTAAAGGGCGGCGACAACTTGCCGTAAGCCCTCACCCTGCCCGAGCTACGCGCATATAATGCTCGGATAATATTCATATATTTCTCGGGCACACCTCTCTGAGTAGACAGTACCAAAGTGCATGTCTATCCACCAAATCGAATGCACCTTTGATATCGAGGAACACGACAACAGTGGGCCGCCAATATATATGACGGCGCTCCAACAACTGACGCAAGGTGAAGATGTGGTCAATGCAGCCACGACCTCGACGAAACCCGGTTGCCGTTCACGAATCTGGCTTTCACGAGTGCCAGTCAGTCTGTGAAGGATGACAGAGGCAAGCAATTTAGAGGCGATGGATATCAGACTGATTCCTCTATGGCTGCCGCATTCCGCTCGTGATCCTCCGTTAAAAATTGGGACTATGATGGAGCGGCTCCAATCGGTTGGGACAGTTTCCTGCTCCCACAGTATCACTAGTAACTCGTGTAAATCATCCACAAGAGCAGGTCCCCCGAATTTGAAGAGGGCTGGAGAAAGTTTACCTGGGCCCGCGGCTTAATTTAACTTCAACACTTCGATCTCATGTTCCACTTCTGAGCAAGAGGTTGGATCCAAAGGGACAGCCCAGCGTGCGGGGCGATCAGTGGCCGGCGAGAAATCTAACCATTCCGACCGACTAAATTGCCTTTTAACGTGTTAAGCCCAACGCTCTAAGCGTTATGATAAGTTGTGTATAGGCTGTTCACTCCCGTCACGTATAGTTTCACTAACACCAGGTCTCCTGCTGCCCGTTTCCCGCAGCAGACGGAATAACTTACGGTGGTTACCAAGAGCAGCGGTCATTTCCATCTCTGACGCACGATGAGACCACCAGGATTCGCGGTCTCTCTTCAGGCTAGCACGGAGTTTTGCCCATAGCTCTTTGCGAGTTTCATTGTGTTCGCTTCCAGCCGGAATATGCCAGCGAGCATCTATAAGTTCCAGATACTGTGAAGAGACCCAATGTTCATGTTGGTGATTAGACATACCACATGAGGATTTGCCTGCTGCTACTAAGCTCTGGTGAATATGAGGCCAGTGAGCTTCAGTTGCATCCAGTGAGCGTTTATCCAACTCGCATGACAGCGTACTTTGATACGCATTCAGAACAGCTGGTGTCAATGCCCTCACAACGTCGTGGGCGTCTGTCAAAGCGCATCCGCAGGTCAGCACACACAAATGCATGATCGGTGTCCACACATGTGCTCCAAATCGAGCGACAGTTCTGGATGCAGCCTCTCCAGCTCTAACTTATCGCAATGTGATCAATTTACGTCCAAGGCTGGATCGAGGCTGGTGGGCGCCAAGTCAGCCTCCGGCGGGTGCTGTGTCTGAAATTAGTGCTGGCAAGAAATAAGCGAGCATCCTCACACAAATGAAGTAACCGCTCATCGTTATCATTACGGGAGCCTATACCATGTTGGCCGCCCAGATGTAACTCATCTGTGGATAATTTTCCACATCGATGGTGCGAGACACAATCGTTTATTTGTTTATTTCTGCAATGGGAATGTACTCAACATTCCGGTGTATTAGAGCTGAAAAACCGCTTGTTTGGCCCAAGTAAATGCTTTGTGCCAAATATGGACGCAGTTTCTCAATGAATAAAAATATTTACAGTATTATTATTAAGTAACCTACATGACAGTTAGGTGCATTTGCGATGCATCTACACTGTACGTATCCTAATCATACTGCTCTATCCCAGGTGTGTCAGGCATGATAACGGGCGTTGAAAATTGAGGTTTCCGTGAATCTACCCTGACTACTTAATGGAAGAATGGGATGTATGTATCGATGGCTAAGTGTCACAGTTATCCTAGTCTTGTTAACTGCTACAAATTCGCTGGGGAGAAGAGTACTACACTTCAGTCACAGCATTTGTGGAATATTTACCGGTGAAAATATCAACCAATCCAAATATAATTGATTAAGTGATTGCATAATAGCTTCTCAGCTTCGGTAATCCAATCGATTGATTCATATGTAGAGGTGTTTACTTACTAGTTGAGTGCATGGGTGCGGGTTAGGGGTCAAAGACTAATTGTGGTTTTGTTAACGTCGCCATGAATTACCGGTGGCATACTTTCATTAGGAAGAGCGAACACTTATGAAAAAGTGTCGCGAGGTGCGTAAATACGTGAGCTATCGATTTGGATATTAAGACACAAAAGACGCATTTTTCAACGGCCGAGGAATCAGCTTAAATATCGAGCTCCGTTAACAGTTTCTGCCGTAGATGTGCATGCGCTTGGCAACAGACACCGGCCATATAGACTGTCTAGAACACTAGGTGAGGTTATTTATCGAGACGAGCGAAATCGCCAAAGCGTTTCTGGGAATAGCATGGAGAAGGTAGAGCTATCGACTGCGTGCCAGCAATCTTAAGCCGGCCAACCTGACGAAGTTCGATACGCTAATCAGGCTGGAGGGCGAAGACAGTCGTCACCATTGTCGGTATCAAACTCGTAATTTGTAACGCGATTTACGGTAAAATATCTGGAATCTTCCCAGTTTGACTGGACCGCTTGATCAGACTATCTAGTTGGACTGTGTCTCACATCTTCGATGAATATGCTATTTACTTAGTTGATTCTTTATTTATGTCTATTCTTTGTGTTGGGAGTGTTTTCTGATTCAGGGCATAACTGTCAGGATTGTGGGCATTACTCGCCATATTACACCATGAAAATTAAGTACCAATTCCCCTACCTGAAGAAGCTTTTACGGTAAAAGCAAAACGTTCAAAAATGATTCAACAAAGCGTTGGCAAAGCTCTCTGCAACCGTGACTTTTAGATCGGTGTGAAATACATACCAATTGCTCAGACAAAACTACTCTTCCTTCTTACTAGTGTACAGCAGCTTCACCTAGGAAATGGACTGCTGGACACCACATGAAAAGTACCATCAGCGCATTACACTGATCCATCATAAAATTGAAGAGCTTTATTGTGTGCATCTAAAAATTTCAGAAAGCAGGGTGAGTATAATGTGTGGTGGAGGTATTACAAGATTATTGTTGGTGGTTTCGGTGGTTGAAGCGGCAGTAACCTAAGAAACCCGTCAAATTCGTATACTACAAGCCACACGATCAGCGGGAATCTTCCACTCACACGCGGGTCGTAATGAGAGAAGAGTTTCGACAATTTTTAGGTGCAAGTCATTTGACTCACAGCAAGGGAGAAAGGATACGCTTGCCTACAAGCAAACACTTTTCACCTAATTGCACCCGTTACTTTAAACACAGGAATGTTCCCTTATGTTATTCCAATAAAAGTGCCCACCGTATTGAAAATGCCAGGCGACGCAGACATGTACTAGAGATCCAAAGTCTGGAAATAATAACAGCACATAAAAACGGGTAAATTTGCGCAATTTTTCGTGCTAGCTTTCTGATTCCCCATTCCGATGCCGTGGTGATTAACAACCTATCGGTTAAGGTAGTCTTCATCACTGCGCGTCCTTCGTCTGTTTAATTTGTGCAACACGACTCCTTCTTCTGCGACGATCAACGATTTCGCTGCACCCTTGCGCCTCCTAGTTTAAACACCTACTGCACCTTAGTAGCGCACCAAAAAATGAAATGACTCTCACTTTATCAAGGGTTTATACATCACTCACTATCTTTCGGATCGAAAGGAAAACTAATCCGCTGTGACGAGCTTTAACGGTTAACAATGTTTGTGGCGATAAGAGAATCTCATCTGTCTTCGGAATATTTCCTTTTCATACATTTGTCCGTTCGATGTACTTGAGTGCCTCGTTAAAACAGATACGACGAGGTTTAAACTGCTTAATGCGATCGACCGCGGGTACACAATTTAAGTGACGACAAATCGATGACCCCCAAGACCTAATGTGTCCGAATTCCACCTTTGCATCTTATCTACCTCTCTACGTACACCGTGTACGTGCTTCAATTCGATGATAGAGGATCGCTGCTTGGCCGGTGACATTTTTGTAAATTGCGCATTGGCCAAGCAGCACTGATCGATAGGTCGACACGGTGCGTAATGGTCAGTAGGTAGTCCATAGTTATGTTTGATTCGAATCACCCGATAAAGGCTGTGCAATCCGATGAATAATCCAGCAAAGTTGCTAGATTATGTTAACCCGATACTGTCAGCGATTGAACTATCGTCGGGACTACCTGGGAAAACACATCTTCAAATGATTGCTCATTTCGGAGCTGAAGTACGTAATGTTGTTCTTGTCGATGCGTTTGATTTTAACACTAAGCAAAGGACCACTCTCTCCGCAGATTTGGTTGCCTTTGTGACACAGCTGATTCGCACCGGTCAACCATCAGACGTACCCGACGATACCGACTATAATTATTTCCCTTTCACGCAAGAGTTACCATACTATTTACCACTTAATGAAATTTGCCCAACGCCACTCAACTGCATGTACGCAATGCGTCCGGACACTCCCTTTATAGCTACAAGCCGCAGTCGTCACGATCCGCGGTTTTTGGCCTCATCTGAGCGGTCACGCTGTTTGTAGTTAGTCGTGCACAAAGACAGAACAAATGATTTTACTTTGTAGGGCAATACTAATTGATGATGATAAAGCTCAAGTCATGTCAATCCGCATCGGTCCAGTCAGTGTGATGAACACATGGGCAGGAACGTAAACGAATGAATAAACGTACTTATCTCGAATGTGTGAGTACCAGTCCAACCACTTGGTCTGATCATTTGATGCATGATGTCAAGGTGCAATGTTCTTCCAAATTTTCCAAAACCGTTTCAAGTCAGGTTGTCTGTGAGTTCAATAGTAGAAATGTCAAAAAGAAGGAGAGTTTGAAAGTAGAATGAAAGTGGTTGTTGTGGAAAGCACAATAGAATTACTACGGCTAGCCCTTGGAACCGACTCTTGAGGATCTGCTTCTATGCTTGATACGCCCTGACAGTTCCAATTCCAAATCACATGTAGTGATGTCGCAGTTCTACTAGGGTTGCTCGACCTATCTGGCCTGGCTGCATGTACGTGTCTAACACTTTCTGAATTTTGTAAGAGTCAGTCGTATGTGTGCCCATCTCATGATCATAATGTGTCGATTACTGGTTGCTGATACCTTCCCTCAACCAGAACATTTAGAACATTGTTGAGATTATTGGACCATTAAACTAAGCTTGTCTATTTCGGTAGCTTGTTCATATTCTGCTCTAGAAGGTATTTGTGATCTTGTGTTACAAAGAAATGAACAATTGTATTTCTAAGTTGGTAGGGATTAACATGTCTTACATTGGAGCATTACTATGACTAGTCCATAGCTGGACGAAGCGATCCTGAGCTCTATCCAAACTTGATCAACCATATTATTCGCTCATATTGATGGTAGCGGTATACAATCGCCTGGAAAACCAGGAAACCATATTATTATCTGTTCGGCTACTCTATGCCCCATCCATACGCATTGCAACCTGAATTCTCCCAGCATTGTACTGGTGCCCCTTGACCAATTTATTGCGTCACTGGTCTCAAGCAACTACAAATTTCGTTGAGTTGCTGGTGTGCGAATTACGCTTACGCACAGTGGAAGTTACGTGTCTGCTTTGCAGTGAATCTGGCCCGAATCAGCGCAATTTCAGAACTTGAAACCTAGACGACGCAGTTGAACGTGGTCGAACTGGTTCACTGTGCCACACAAAAGACAGAAAAACACTGAATCTGTTGGCATTTGTGCGACTCACGATTAGCGACAGCATGTGTATCCAAAAAGCTTGGTTCTACTTACGAGACAACTGGGTTATTTGTGCAACTGAACATTCATTTTCTCGCGTGTTCCGTGAAATTGCAGGCAGATATGGACCCTTGTCTTTCTAAGCAACAGATTGTGCTCTCAATCTTTAGTTTCGCTGCCTCGTCGATGGCATTCTTCGGATTATGGGAGATGATAACCTGTCTCCATTAATAAACCCGTTTCCCACACACCTCGAATGACTAGAATTAGAGTTTAGATTTTATGGGTTAAAAACTAAAGGCCAACAAGCCTGGTGCAATAATCAAGTGGAAGCAGGCAAACACGACCATAACTGTTGCTAACCGCGTAGAACTTGGATCTGTGGACTTCTAATATTATTGTAATTGACTGAGCCCTAAATCCATCCACCAACATTTCATGTTAATGAGAAACACCGCTTTGGTTTGCTTCTCATCGCTATCTGTTAAACTAGAAATATATCGCGTTGTGTATGTGGCGAAACGCAATGCCGAGCGGATATTTAAATTTATATCACCTAAGCGCTCAAATTATATAGATAAGAAGAGCGTCACATCGCTGAAAATTAGGTGGGCAAACATTCCCGGCTACCTTTTAACCAATAGTATTGCGCGGCCAATTTCAGCTGGTTATTCCTTAGATTGGAGTTTTTAGGATTTTCAAAATGCTAGAGGATGAATACTTAGACTGTACTCTTATAAGGGTTTTACCCAAGGCTAACATGAGCGATATAACAAACTAATAAATTTCTTACTTGTTACTTGCTGTGAATCATCGCGTCTCAAGCCTGAATGGCCTGACGCTTAATGCGCGCAGAATAGCTGCAGAGATGGAAATGTCAAACACAACAATGTTCACTTCAAGTGCCCAACCCTTCGTTTCACAATCTGCTTCTAGCAGGCAATGTTATGTTGAGCCACTACACTAGGGTGCCGTTGTTGCGAGATACTGTTGCACAGATTGCATGGCTCCGTGAAAGCTGCTGGGTGTTCTTATTGGGTTCACCTGAGAAACACCTTCATCATGCGACTACTCAAACTGGGCAATTAACAACTTCGCTTTCTTCATTGGAACGAATGTTTTGTGTCAATACAAACTGAACACACTCCAACTAAACTCTCCCCAATCACGCTGCTGTATCTACCGTCCCAAGCCACATTGATCTCAACTGAGTTTCCCTCAGGACACCTCCACTACGTGACAGCCCAGGTATATTGTCAACATCCATCTAATACTACAGTTGACTTATACGCTGCTATACTATTCAGTTATAAACACAGGTGTGAGAGGCATGTATTGTCCTTGACTGAGTCAGTAAAGGAACTCTCGTTCTTGGTGCTTTATGGCTAATTTTATGAGCTTAGCTACAGCAGTCGGACGCAACAAGTTCCATTTCCACTCTAAGCGCGAGTGTGCGTACTTTTGCGGATGGATCCGATTTGTCCTATCAACTTTCCTTTGCAGTTTGGTTTCTGACTCACCTAACACCCTGCGACAATTGTGTAAATTTGGGCTGCGTTCGCAGCGGAAATGTTGTCCCTATGTTGGGACTCAAACGGCGCAAGTAACACAAGTGCTTTCCCTGCTGAAGTGACTCTTTTGCGTCGGCACAATTGTATCTAGTGCTATGAGGTACTCTGATTTCAAATGAGTTTTTTTAAACTACACCATCACTACGTGGCAAATCACGGGGCCTTTTGAAAATCCAACTTCCACTGTTGCGTTGGGCAATATCTGGTAAAATGCCTTCGCCTAAAAGTCGAAGTAGTTATTGTTTCTCATTGTTTCATCAGGTTACCAGGAACATAAATGGAATTCTACTCCAGCCCCATCACTTCCCGCTCACTGCAGAAATAATGTATTGCTGCGGCACAGTGATACACAAGAGAGTACTGCGGTCACGGTAAATTCAACAAGATCCATATTTGTCCATGACATATTTTTCAATCAATTGAATTATTTCACTGCTTGTTCACTTGACGACTGGCTCAGGTAGATTGTTCCAGTCATTCGCCACCCGACTTGACAAAGCAACATCGGAGCGAGCTCGAAGCTTCCTCGAGATAAACAGATTCTAGCATTTGCACCATTTCGAACAAGGTCACATCGTAACAGACTTCTGGCGTACATATGGAATTTGGCTGATGTTGTGCATAAAACCCTCTGCGTCTGTCCGCATAAAACAGCAGATGACTACACTTATTCCATCCGGGTGCCCGGCGAAAATGTTGCTGCGGCAAGTCGCGATCCTCCTGACTACATTTCGTCAAACGTATTTATAATTTGGTGGATTGTATATTTCCCATGGCATTTGGAAACCGTCTCCATGAAGCACAACTGATCGCAACTACATCAAAAGTACACTCATGTATTTAAAGTTGTCCAAGGTTGGAACTGCTAAACAAAGTAGCCAAAACGAATCAGTGAAGGCTCCTTAACACACCCTATTCAAGAGCAAACTAGGAAACAACCGTTTGTGGCCTCTAAAGGACACACTTTTACTCCTGATATATAGGTGGCAAATTAGTAGTAGATGATACTGGTCAGAAGAAGAAGGCATTATAAATTTGGTAACGGATGGTGCCTTAATATCGCGTTCATCATGGAAGGCGAGTCAAGGGATTATTTTCACGTCTTAGATGTCGCTTTAAGGAGAAAATCAGATAGCTTGCCCCTACGATCGATTTAGTGTAAAACTAAATTGAAGCGATTTGCTTGTAAATCTCGACAGCTACTTTCCCATCAAATTTAAGCGATCCTTGATTTGAAACTGGTTCGCGGGAGTTCGCCGAATCTAATAAAAAAGTATATCACAAGTGAACTGCAGCGAATTTTATCAACGCTTTTGATATCGGATAACACAGCTAATTCCATCGCAATGAGGCTAGAACTTAACGTGGTGCGATAGCTAGTGTGCCTCAGTGATCCATTGAGCTATGCTGGGTGGTGCTTTTGCACCTTCAGTGTCAATCATACCAGCTTGGTCAATGGTTAGTGGCCAGACAAACTCAGCCTCCTGTTCCTGCAGGTTGGGGTTGGAATAGCGGTGGCTCCTTATTCCTTAAAATGGCCTCCTAGTAGCCCAATGCCAAACCCGCTGCCGTGCGGTAAGGTTTTTGAACCAATGGCTTTGATTAAGAACCCTAATCGTTCTCTTGTCTAGGCCTGGGCTACCTGACAGTATCCTGCCCAGTAATACAATAAATCTCTCTTCAAACAAATTTTTGTTGCTCTGGCCACCGCAGAGGATAATCAACGGTGCCCTATCTGCTGCATCTCGCACAGTGGATAGGGGTTTAGGTGTTACTGCTCAAGGTTTCCCGTGTTCTTTTCCCCTCTTACGCTTTTTCACTCTTAGCGTCCTGTTCCAAATTCACTTTTATCCCCCATGTTTTCAACCCCCCAATCCTTGGCCCTCTCACAACATGCTTTGTTAGGCTTTTATCTTCTAATTTCAATTAACATGTGAACGTGGAGTTTCACTGCTCACCTGTCGACATGCCCATGTCAAACCAAGTGGTCTATTCCAGTTCATCAGCTTAAATTTGGAGCCCACGATCATCCTTCAGATTGGCATTCCTCAATGTACGCACACTGGTACAGATCGGTCAACATACAGCACTCGCTCGAACATTGGAGACCCACTCGATCGATATCTGCTACTTATCGGAGACCCGCCTGCAAGACTCGAGCTCTGTGCTCACTCTGCGATCACCTTCAGGTGACACTAGCAGCACTTTCTCATTGCGCCTATCCGGTGACGATGCAGCTTCGAGCA